TTGCATTAGCCGATTCACTCAAAACTCAAAGCTCGGATGCCCAAGAGAGAGATTTGGAGCCCTCAAGTGAAGACAAGGTTGTTGTCCATGAATTGCAAATTGAAGATAATCAAGAGGACAACAATGTTATCACAATTTCAGAAAACACTAGGGGGCCAGGTGAAATCTCTCCAACTAAAGCAAAAGCCGATTGATCCCGTTGAGCATGGGGAATCGGCTAAGGATCCCCCTTTGGAGCATGTTTGCCAAGATGTGGAAGAGAAGGAGGATGCTCACAAAGCTATTGGAGGTAAAGACCGTGACAAGCATAAGAGTAGAAGGCCGAAGCTCAACTTCGAGGAACTTCTAGCTAAATACAAGAAGGTGGCAGAAGCAAATGTCATTAGTCAGCCAAAGAAGGTCCAATCATCAAGATTGTCTCCAAAGCACAAGTCTCAAGAGTGGAATTGGCAAGAAGATAGATCTCATGCAGTAGCAACATATCCTCCTTTTGAGTAGCCAATTCCTATGTCATATGGACCACAACCCACATATTTTCATTCTTATTCATCTTGGGGTTGGTTTGATCAAGAGGCACATGTTTCTTCATATTTTAGGGCACAATATGTAGAGTATGTAGCTCCTAGACATTTAGAGAGATCATTGTCTTGTAAAGACCGTTTTGATCAAAATCGGTCCAAAGCTCAACCTAAAAAGAAAGTGGTAAAGCAAGTTTACCGCGTGAAGTATGATGGCCGAAAGAAGAAAAGTTTAGATCTAAAATTCAACTATTGAAAAGCCGATTACATTGCTGAAAAATCAGGCTATTTATGGCAAAGACATGGGGAAATCATCTATTGATATTCTAGATACCAAATCTAAACAAAAGAAGGTGAGAGTGCCCAAAATCAAGAAAGAATTGCTACTGTCCAAAACAGATATAAAACCGATATGCTCAATCGGTTTACCAAAGTGGCAAGAAAGCATGTTACAGAAGCTTAGTGCAGAGAAGCTGAAAGAAAAAGGCTTGGCATGGGTTTCTAAATGAAGAATTCAATCTTAAAAGAATGATGCTCAAGCAAGTAGTGCAACAAAGGCAAAGGAGAGAAGGAGATTCAAGAAGCAATTGCCAAATTGGAGGTTTGCACCAAATCATCAAAGTTATTGGTCATGGCATCATCCATATTCTCTGTCTATGCCTATGTGGAATTCATCTCCTGGTATACATGGTTATCCCTTAGCTCTCTTTTTTGATCCTTGGTATGGATCTTTATGTTATGGAGGGTTGCCAAATTATTTTGCTTATCAATGATCAAGAGCTGGAATATTTATTTCGGTTATGCATACTTTTGTGGATGAATTCATATGGCCGATATTTTGATATTGCCCTTAGTGTAAAAATATAGTCGATGAATGCTTGCAACCATCGTGCTATTAGAAAGACCACCATGGAATTTACTTTGATGGTTTTTAGGCCCGGGGGCATGATATATGCATTTTGATTAACTTCATGGGTGTGACAATATGATTAATCGGCTTGCAAATAAGGCCAAGGTGTTGGCATAATCATTATTTCTCACAATAGTGTTGTTTGAGACATCAAGCCGATTAAAATTATATTTTCACCAACATTTGAGCCGAATGTGAGGTTTTCTTATTTGGCTTGGCTATATTGCAATCCATGGGGTATGACATGTTGAAGCCTTTTGGTGATTCCTTGCTAGTGGCACAAGTAGTTGATGAGTTTCAATGCCTAGAGGGACCACTTGATGCTCATCTTAATATGTGCCTTGATATAATTGCTTCTTTTACCGAATTTCAAATTCAGCATATTTCAAGGCATGAGAATTTTAAGGTCAACATGGTAGTTTAATAAGCATCTGGCTTTGATGTAGGTGGACATAATTTTCACATCAAAGAAAGGCCGATGTAAGAAAACTTTGTTGTTTTAGGTGCAGAAGTAGGAGAGTCGGCTGAGCTGACTCCCTGAGTCGGCTGAGCCGACTCTCCTTTGGCTCGCCGGGTCGGCTCGCCGAGGAATTACCAAATTGGCCCAACTTGATTTTCAGCAATGACACGGGCGATTTGGATGATTGGAGGACTCCCTTGTTGCAGTATTTACATGATCCAAATGCCAAAGTTGATAAAGTATTCGGTGGAGTATATTCAGTTATGCACAAAGATGAGCTATATCGAAGAATTGCCGAAGACTTGCTAACTAAATGTTTAGAATCTGATCAAGCAAATATGGTTATGGGAGAAGTCCATGGACTTTGATCAATCTCATCAAGAAGAAGGTTGGGGATAATCCAAGGAGGTGTTCTAAAGTTTTGTTTGAAGCCCTACGGGCATATTGCATATTGAGGAATGATGCTAGATGTAGAAAACCATGCCACCAAGTGGATGAGAAGCAACAAGTTTGGCAAGAGGTCACCAAGTTGAGAAGGTCCTTATAGAGTGATCAAAGTGATATTTGACAATTCATATCTGCTGGAGACGTTGCAAGGTGATAGTCTCCCAAGAGCAATTAATGGGAGGTGCTTGAAAAGGGACTTTATAAGTATTTGGCAAGAAGTCTAGAGTGCTCTCCAAACAATGGCCGATACATGTATCGCCCTTAGAACAAATATGGCCGATGTATACATCGCCCTTAGAAACTAGATGGCCAATGAGTTAGGTATCACTGCTATTTAGTGCTTTAATTATGCATATATGAGAAGATGCTGGAAAAGCTGTGGATATTACTCTAGATAAGTTCAAGGCAGCAAACAGAAAATATTGCTGAATTTTCTGCAGAAAACAATAGCAATGGCACACTTTTGGCTTTGAAGGTGCTTTTTAGTACGCAAGCTTTACTAAAAAGGGGGGCATATGTTGACACCCAAAATTGTCTAGAGTGCATAATTGACATCACCATCATTTTCTGTCACCAAGATGACCTAAAAGTATACTTGGATCATCGCATTTGGCGCTTGGGCGAAGAAAACAGCTTTTCGGGTGCTGAACCAGCCAGAGTTGGCTTAGCCGACTCCCAAGTCGGCTGACCAACTTCCTCAAATGAAAGAATGGACTTCACCATTGCGTTCCTCTTGTCGAGCTGATCGAAAAACATATATAGATCACCTCGTTTGGAGTCCAAATGAATTAATTATGAATTTCGAAAGCTTTTCACCGGAATTTCCGGCAGCCAATCGGTTTAGCCGAGTTCCCCAGTCGGCTAAGCCGACCTGGGAGTCGACTAAGCCGACTTTTCTGCTGTTTATGAGCCGGTTTGACTCCCAAGTCGGTTTTGGACCTATTTTGGATGTGAGAAACTTGGAGATTACGATTTGGACTTGTTTTTTCTATTAGAATAAGACCACCCCCTCTATGTATACGAGAGGATCATGGCTAATTGAGTTCTCAACTATCTAATCGTCATACAAACCAATCTACTGTCTCTCTTTTATCCTCTTCTCCAACCTCAATGCTGTTCATCCCTTGATCCACGACCAAGGATGGCGCCCTAGGCTTGTCGGCCGACCTAGGGCAACCCGACAACATCCTTGCCTTGACGGGTCTCTTCCGGACGAGAGCTTCAACGGTTTCTTTACTAGTTTGTCTGAAAACTAGCCGGTTCTTCATCACGCAAGCATGTTGGTTATCCTTTGATGGTTTACATGTAAACCTCTCCGTTCTTCACCACGAAAGAGTGACATCTTGCTACGTTCTTCGGCCCATAGCATCCCGGGCGTCGAAGCCCTACTGATATATGATTCGGATCATTTCCGACTTCAACGCAAACTAACTCACCGATCCTTAGGATGTCGGATCAGCCTGAAGGCCACCACCGACGTCGTTGTGCCGTCCCTGCTCCTTCATCGGCATCCAGGAGGCGGCGTCGCCAACTGCATTGCGCTAGGTGAGTGCACAGGAAGCGCTTACAAATCGGTGTCAACAATCTCTGCTTCCACTACCCATGGGTGACGACCCGACTCGTGATTACGGTTAGTCTCCATTAATCCACATTAGATTAGTTGGTGTTCATGTAATTAGATCAGTGATCCTGTGGTTAAGCCACTGATTGTGGCCATACCGATCGTCGGAGCAGTTTCCTGATCCTGCGTCTCAGTGCTCCATGCCAACTATGCTTATTTCTGATCGAGTCCTTCAGAAAATATCAGCTTTGCAGTCTAGATCGCTGTACTCGTCCACTGTATCTTTTGCTCTTTCCGAAAATATTTATAAATGTCAACTCTTCAAATCCATGTTTTTTTTGTCACTCTCATGATAGGATTTTTGTTCTACAACATGCAAATCTCTGTGCACACTTAACTGAAAAGAAAAATCGGCTATGGGACATCAACATCATTTGCCCAATACTTCTGAATTCTCTGGATCACAAACCAAACCAGCTTCACAGAAGTGCTCAACCAAAGAATCGATCCGCAAAGTTATAACCTCTTGATGAAAATGTCTCCCTGCGGCTCCGGTGATGTACTTGTATCTTGTGACCTCTCCCAGTTGTCGAGTCCACTCCGGTTACTGTCACCAACAGTGTTGCAACCTTTTCTTGCTCGGCTCCAGAACTATTCCCTGAAGTCCCAGTAAGATAATCTTGACTTCGTATTTGTCCATGTTGCAATGTCACTTCTACTGATTGTCCGGGAGAGATTATACCGACTGCCGGAGAAACCTGTTGTAATCACGTGCTCTTTCAGTTCTCAAACAATTAAGCTCATGGCATCGAACAAATCTTAATTAGCAAAACAATCTTATAGTCTTAGACTATCTATTATCATTTCAGTGCTATGCTCGATATGTAATTGAAAAACTCAATAGAATAAGATTTGCAGATTCACATTCAGTAAACTTTATCTTTCCACCATCTTGGTTGAGCATAGCTAACAACACTTCCTTATATGTGCCTACATAAAGGGCAGTCATCTGTGTATAGTTCATGTCCCAAGGCTATAGCTAAACTATGCTCAAATGGAGTACCTTAGCATAGGACAAGGAGAGAAGGCAGAGCAGTAACCTACCTTCAGCCAAGAAGGGAAACCTAAGAAAGGTGTGCCAGATGAGTTTGGTGTCTGACCAATGATCTCAAAACAAGCCAACTCTTTTGTACTTCTGTTATGTAGTTTCACAACAGAAGGGTTTTGATCTTGCAGAATGATGTCATTAGTGCTGATATTTACTTCAGGGAAAGGCTCCAAGCCCTGAAGGTAGTCCAGCACTTCCTTATTTGAAGTCATTATTTCTCCATATTTCTGCCTCATTGTTTGTTTGTCGACATGAGCAATATCCAAATTAAACACGCATTTTACAGGTTTGTGATCACTGTCCGTTGCTTCCATACAAGAGTCGTACCTAAAATATGGAATAACAGGCATTGCAAATTAATTAACAGAATTATATTATATTATATACCACAGGCAAGATAAGCAAACAACTTACAGTGATATCAAACAAACTACAGGACATTCCAAAGAACACTCAATCTGTGAACTAGTTCGGCTGTCTCGATATAGAATTCTGTCACACCAGGCTGGAATGCGCCTTTTCTCACTACTATCATAACCTATAAGGCAAATAAAAATTAACTACATATGATCACTATAATAAGTGCTTCAGGAGATCACTAAAAAAGCACATACAAATTATTGCAATGTAGGTTATGCTAATGTAATCAATCCAGTACAGTGACTAAGAGTTTAAACAGATAGTTTTATACCAGATAAGCCTGTTATGTGTTTCTCAAATTTATAAGTAGGGGGAACTTAAATTCTCCTTCACGTAACCCCTGGAAGACTCCCAAATTTCATTTCTGCTCGTAGCTGATCATTCTCTCACTCAGTCGTCTGGGGCCAGTTCCGACCTCTGTGGCGGCCAGGGGCCTGCTGCGCTTGCACCTTGTGTTTGTGTCGCCAAGGGCGGATGACGACGAGCGGCTCCATGCGACTCATGGGCAGTCACCGGTTCCGTACTGTATGGTTGACAACATCATTGGCAATGCAACTCCCCCAGGCTTGCACAACGTGATCTCGACACCAACCTGTACCTGGCGAGCACTGGGGAGCCGTGCTCGTTCGTGGAGGTGGAGGGAGACGAGGCCTGGCGGACGACAATGCAGGAAGAGGTCGACGTGGTGGTGTGGAATCGCACTTGGGATCTCACGGATCTCCCACCTAGCCATCGAGCTACCACCCTTAAGTGGGTGTTCAAGCTCAAGAAGGACCAGGCTGGCAAAGTGGTCAAGCACAAGGCGCAGCTGGTGGCCCGTGGCTTTGTCCAGCAGCCGAGCATCAACTTCGAGGAGGTGTTTGCGCCAGTTGCCGAATGGAGTCGGTGCGGCTCCTACTAGCATTGGCTGCCTAGGAGGGGTAGCTCGTCCATCACATTTACGTCAAGTTTGCATTCCTTAATGGGGACTTGAAGGAGATGTATGTGCGACAAGCCACCAAGCCTTGTCATTGCCGAGCATGAAGGCAAGGTGTTGCGGCTGCCCAAGTCCCTCTATGGCCTGCGTCAAGCGCCGCACGCCTAGAATGAGAAGCTCGACCACACGCTCAAGGAGCTCAGCTTACACCAAAGCGAGTACGAGCACAGGGTGTATCGGCGTGCTAACAGCATCTCGCTCCTCTTGGTCAGCGTGTATGTAGACAACCTCATCATCACTAGCGTGTCGTAGGATAGAGTGGAGAAGTTCAAGGCCGAGATGAAGACATCATTCCACATGAGCGACCTTGGTCTGCTCTGCTTCTACTTGGGCATCGAGGTGCACCACGACACCATCACACTACAGCAAGGCCACTACGCCAAGTGCATCCTCGAGCTGGCGGGCATGTCCGGCTACAATCCAATCCACACCCCCATGTAGGAGTGGCTCAAGCTCGAGCCAAGAAAGCATGGCGGAGGTCGTGGACCCGACGCACTATCGGAGGGTCGTCGGAAGCCTCCACTATCTTGTCCAAACCTAGCCGCTGTCGAGTTCGTGAGCCGGTTCATGGAGAAGCCCATGAAGGACATCTCCACATGGTAAAGCGCATCCTATGGCAGACTAGAGTAGCGTGCCTGGTCAAATATTGCGATAGCAACCTAGCCGGCGATATCGACACAAGGAAGAGCACCAGTGCATCCTCTTCTTCGGTGGCTGCTGTTGGTCCCTTGGCTGCCCTGCACAGGTAAGCAGTAAGCTTACCAGCACACTCACTCACTATGGCTAGAGATAGAAGAAGATATTGAGAACAGCTCACACACACAGCACAAGTCCAGCGCTGGCCGAAAGCTCTGCTTCTGGATGTGGCAAACTAAACTGCTCTTTTGCATTGCCTTAGGTGTGATATATATACAAGTGCTAGTACCTCTACTAGGTACATAGTTGTTGGTGAGTACACCAACTACCTATTCCTAATGTACACCATCTACTCCTAGTACTAGCAGTACAAAGCTTAGATCAGCCAACTTCCAAGACCTGGCTGATGTAATAGCTACCAACTAATGTATTGGAGGTGGCCTATTGCCATACCACTACAGTAATAGAGACTGGACAGCCAAGCTGACCAAATACCAACTCTGTTGCACTAAGAGAGAGAGAGAGATCAGCAATAGATTATGTCTTACAATTCTTCCCCTAATCCTGCTACTAACCCGATGCCTTGACCTCATCCATGCCAATCATCTTTCTCAGCTCCATGAACTGTAGGCGCCCGAGTGACTTGGTGAGGATGTCAGCGAGCTGTCTTCCGGTCTCGACGAACTCGATGATGATCTGCCCTCCATCGATACAGTCCCGGAGGAAGTGAAACTTGATGTCAATGTGCTTGCTCCGGTCGTGGGGGACAGGGTTCTTGGCGAGGGCGATGGCGGGCTGGTTGTCCATCATCATAGCTGGCGGGTGAGCTTCCTCGCCGGTCAGCTCGCCCAGCAGCCGGCGCAAACAGACAGCCTGGCACGCCGCCGTGGCTGCTGTGACGTACTCCGTCTCGCACGTCGACAGCGCCACAATCTTTTGCTTCAGCGACTGCCAAGCAATGGGGGCCGCTCCAAGGAAGACGAGCACGCCGGAGGTGCTCCGTCACCCGTTGATATCGCCCGCCATGTCTGCGTCGCTGAAAACAGTGAGCTCCGGCTCACCTTCCTTTGGCTTGGGGTTGCCTCACTGAAGACCGTGAGCCGCAGCCCACCCTTGCCGCCACTCTTGGGGAAGATGATCGCTTGATCGAGCGTCCCCTTGACGTAGCGCAGCAGCCTCTTCACCGCTGCCCAGTGATCCTCGCGCAGGTCCTCCATGAAGCGACTGACATACCCGACCATGAACGTGATGTCCGGTCGAGTATACGTGAGGTAGCACAGCCTGCCGACGATGCTCCGATAGCGCGTCGCGTCCACCTTCGCCGCCATGCTGTGCTTGGACAGCTTCAACCGCTCCTCCATTGGAGTTGCGCACGGCTTGCACTCCGCCATGCCGCTGCGCTCCAGCAGCTTCTCCGCAAAGGCGCACTGGCCAAGGGAGATGTGCTCCTTCCCCTGCCTCACCTCAATGCCGAGGTAGTAGGAGAGCACGCCGAGATCGCTCATTTTGAAATGAGCAGCCATCTCGCGCTTGAAGTCGTCGATGTCCTCCGCCCGTGCTCCAGTGACGATTAAGTCGTCCACATACACGTCGACGATGAGCTCCTTCTTCCCCCGTCGCCGCGTGTACAGCATGTGCTCTATGGCACAGTGAGTGAACCCAAACTCACCCAAGGTGGCATCGAGCTTGGCGTTCCACACCCGAGGGGCCTACCGCAGCCCGTCGAGCGCCTTGCGCAGCTTGAGCACCTTGTGCTCAACACCCTTGATGGCAAAGCCTGGAGCTTGTTTAACGAAGACCGTCTCCGCGAGCTCGCTGTTGAGGAACGCAGACTTGACGTCGAGGTGGTGGACGCGCCAATCCTTCGCTACTGCCATGGCCAACAGCAAGCGAACAGACTCCATTCGTGCCACCGGAGCAAAGACTTCCTCAAAGTCGATGCCCTCACGCTGCACGAAGCCGCGGGTGACGAGCCGAGCCTTGTATTTGACAATGGCGCCGCGCTCATCCCGCTTCACCTTGTAGACCCACTTCAACCCGATCGGCCTGCAGCCCACCGGTGGATCCACCAGCTCCCATGTCCCATTGTCCTCGATGGCCTTCATCTCTTCTAACATCGCCCGACGCCAATTATCGTCGCGTTCAGCCACTGCAAACGTCGGTGGCTCCTCTGCACTAACAAGGAGCAGCTCTGGGTCGTCGAGAAAATGACTGGCCAACCCAGGAGCTCCCCCTTCGCCGACAATGTTGTCCACCCGCCTGAACCGGACCTCCTCGCCGTCGTGGAAAGCGTCCACGTACTCGTCGATGTCGGTGGGTGGAGAGGTGAACTCGATAGGTGGTCCAGTCCATGGCCTCCATGTTCTGCCAGAGTGGTCGGCATCGCTGCCGGACCGCTCGGCACCACTGCCGGAGTGGTTGGCACCACTGCCGGAGTGGTCAGCACCACTCTTGGAGTGGTCGGCTCCACTACTGGAGCACTCGGCACTGCTGCTGAAGTGCTCGGCACCCCCTCTGGAGTGGTCGGCATTGCTGCTGGACCGCTCGACACCACTCCTGGGGTGGTCCGCACCTCTTCTCCAATGTCTCCACCACCATGGATGACTAAGTGTTCGACAACAAAGGTGTTGCTCAAGCTACCAGCTTCCCCCATGCCCGGACCCTCCCAATCCCAAGCCGCCATCTCATCGAACACCACATCCCTAGAGATCTCCACATTGCCTCTCTTGGGATCATATAGCCGATATGCCTTGGTGCCCTCCTCGTAGCCCAAGAGCACCATCGGCGTGCTCCTGTCTTCCAGCTTGCCGAGGTGAGGCTTGGTGTTCTTCACATGGCCGACGTAGCCAAATGTCCTCAGGAAGGACACATTCGGCTTGCGTCCATGCCAAGCCTCGAACGGCATCTTGCCCTTCAGGGCCTTGGTGGGCGCGTGGTTGAGGATGAACACCGCCGTGGTCACCACCTCTCCCTAGAACTTTGTCGGCATGCTTCTGACCTTTATCATGGATCGAGCCATGTCGACCACCGTCTGGTTCCGCCGCTCCACCACGCCATTCTGCTGCGGCGAGTACGGCGCGGTGTGGTGTCGCACCACACCCTAATCCGCGCAGTACGCAACGAACTCCACTGAAGTGAATTCGCCGCCGTGATCAGTCCGCAGCACGCACAGCTTCTTGCCGCTCTCCGCCTCCACGCGCGCCT